TTTAAGGTTAAAAAACACATTATTTTCCACATACTGTACATTATTGTTTCTCCTCTATGCCCCGCCTTTCTGAAACGCTCTTTACAAAGCTCATCAGTCTGAAAAGCGTTATACATCTGAATATTTGGGTTGAAGTGTTCTGGAACAGTGTTGTAAATACAACTTAACCACTGATTTCTAGTCGTGTCCTCTTTTGGAAGACCAAACAAAGTAGCTTCGCTTTCACAACGAAACACAGCGTCTTCAAGACATGGCGGCAGCAACAATACTACAGCGAGAATAAAAGTTACGCCTTCTTTCTTTGCGTGAACATTTGGGCAGCGTTATGCAAATCTTCCCACATCGTGACGTAGACATGTGGGGAACGAGCCGTTTTAGGTGGCGTGGCTGACTCTTAACTTTTATAAAGAATATCTCTTTGGATTTGAGACTTTAGTCTTTGCAACTTTACAGATCTTCTTTATGCACCAAGAGCTTGTAACACTCCAAAGAGAAAGGAACAATTAAATCTCATCATGTGACCCCTTTAAAGTGCCCTTGGCTTGTTACAGTGTGCAGTTATATATTTAATATGAATTAACTACATGTGCTTACTATATGGTTAGGGTAAGGATTCGGGTTTCATTTATATTTATACGTGTAATATGATGCCTAACATTTTTCTCACACAGCATAAGTGGGTCTTTATACATGTAAAACATATAGCTAATGTTATAATTTAGGAAGGAAATCATCTCCTGCAAGAGGATTTTCCAGCGTGTAGCGTGAAAAACAAACGTTTTATACAAATAGGCCTATATGGATAACATAAATCACATATAGCCTTCATAAAGCGTGCAACGAGAGCTCCCTAAAACCCTGTCACTCGTCTTAGCTGATCGCGGTCTCACAACGTTACGTTATAATCAATGAACCTCTCTGTACTGCACGATGAATCTTTTATTTACATCGTTATAATAAGATGGCTCTCGAGCTGGCAGAACTGAGCACTGGACACAAACTCCAGCGTTTGAAGCGTTGAATGGGTTCTAACTTTAACGCCTCTGATTGGTCATTGTGTTCAATAAATCAACAGGGATGTATGTGATTGGCTACATTGCTGAACGCTGTAAAAATGTAAATGGAAACCGGAGCGCAAACACAAATGTGCACTAGATAGTTTGCCCAATCTGTTTATTACAGCTTCAGCTGCGGGTGCTCTTGCTTTCACTATCATCCGCTTAAACCCAGGCTCAGTGGCACACAATATCAGGCTGCAAATCTCACTCTCATCCAGGCCATCCTATACACCCACAACACATTCTGAAACCACAGACACGCTGTTATTTGTATGGCCAGCAGGTCTAAACCCTTAGGCTGGAGCCGTGCAAATAATGAAAGGTTCTTGAACTGCACCTTCACTTCCATCTTCCGTTTCTTCATTTTCATCAATATCTCGGTCCATCCCTTGTGTGTGTGTGTGTTTCTTGTACCTGTCACTTCTTCACCAGCAGGTCTACGGTTATGAACAGAACTATGTCCACCTAGTTGCAAAACAACCACCTCGTTTTAATTTGTTTGCACAGAATGATGTTTAAAGTGCCTATTTATACAAATTAGTGCAATACCTTTATTGAAAAATCCTAAAAGCCTACTGAACACACTATTGCATTGACTCATATTTTTGTGTTGCTGTCTGCGCTCCCTCCTTACCTAAACTATAAATCCATGTGAATATCTGTCTGCTAAATGTATTAATGTAACTTTACAGTACGATGTCCTTTAGCATACAGTATTCTGACATGCTAATAATGGGGTGCTCCTGATAGCCTAACAGTTGCTAGCAGATTAATACTCAGCTAAGTTAACAGACAAAACTATAGTGACTAAGGCATTATATTTGGGGATCCGTGGCATTAATTGTTGGACAGCTTGTTTTCTCTCATACACACACAAAGACTTTATCAATAAAATAGTTTGGGGAAAGCCGTTGTTCTGAAAAATAATGCTACCTATCAGATTCTGCTACCAACACTGTATTGATCCTACGGTAAGTGTAGGTGTACATGTTAATAAAGCCTCACACTTTATTAATATCATGCTGGAAGCACAATCTGAGGGCAGCACACATCTCCAGAACACCGGTCATGCGAGTAATTCAGATTCACGCGCTCTCTTCTGCTCTGCACACGGCGCATTCCTCTGTCAGAGCTCACATTAATGTAACGGAGGCTCGGGTGTTAGTAAAATTATTCGAAAGTAATGGTTTCACGCCGTGGCTTGCTTTTCCGATAGGCTACTAACGAGAGCATGTCTGCACGCTACCATATGTCCTCACGGCCTGTGTGCACTGCTGCAGCACCAGAACTGCTGATTTGAAGTCCAGCAATCCAATAATGCCTGGGTTTATTTCATAATTTTCAGGACTCATGAACACATGAAGTGACCAGAGCAGCAGGCGAGCGTGGAATATGGAAAGCTTACATTCAGCGGATGGAAATATTGCATTACACTGATTGTGTGAGGAGAAAAGATGACCTGAACACTGATGTGTAGCTGTGGCATTACTTTACTCTGGTAATATATGGCTTCACATCCCTCTGATCCTCATCAATTATATTACTAGAATAAAAGAAAACACTTTTATAAAACTAAACATTTTCTCGTGAACTTATGCAACTTCTGATAAAATACATCATGAAATATAATCGTATATTGATAAAAGATCAATTATAACTACACTTAGTTTCAAGCTACACAATGAGAATACTACAACACTTTTACTTAAACATCATTATCAATCAATAATATGACTTTTATAAGGAGTAACTAGTAACAAGTAATAAATAAAATGTTTGAGTAACGAGCCCAACACTGGTTGTAGCTCTCAGAGACATCGAGACGAACCAGAGCAACATGGACCGCTCCAAACCCCGAGACCGGCCTGCTCCGGAGCTCAGACAGAGAAGACATGACCCCAGCTCAGACCGGAGGAAGAGCGCACACATATGGCTTCACATCCCTCTGATCCTCATCAATTATATTACTAGAATAAAAGAAAACACTTTTATAAAACTAAACATTTTCTCGTGAACTTATGCAACTTCTGATAAAATACATCATGAAATATAATCGTATATTGATAAAAGATCAATTATAACTACACTTAGTTTCAAGCTACACAATGAGAATACTACAACACTTTTACTTAAACATCATTATCAATCAATAATATGACTTTTATAAGGAGTAACTAGTAACAAGTAATAAATAAAATGTTTGAGTAACGAGCCCAACACTGGTTGTAGCTCTCAGAGACATCGAGATGAACCAGAGCAACATGGACCGCTCCAAACCCCGAGACCGGCCTGCTCCGGAGCTCAGACAGAGAAGACATGACCCCAGCTCAGAGCGGAGGAAGAGCACACACACACACACACAGAGAAAAAAAGACACAAAGACAGAGCGAAGGAAGAGCGCACACGTGATTCGACTCGCTCTGGACCTTCCACACGCTGCAATCACTCAGAGCGCTTGGTGAACCGATTCAGTGATTCGACTCGCTCTGGACCTTCCACACGCTGCAATCACTCAGAGCGCTTGGTGAACCGATTCAGTGATTCGACTCGCTCTGGACCTTCCACACGCTGCAATCACTCAGAGCACTTGGTGAACCGATTCACCCAAAGAATGCTGCTTCGTGATCGAGTTATACTCTTCTCAATAACAAGAAGCGGTACGCATGGACGGTAAAAGCTTTGAAATGTAGTGGAGCAAAATGAATTGTTTCTCATAATGAAAATGAGGGCAGACAGATTTACTGCATTTAGTTTGCAGGTAACTGACACGTGGAAAGCAATATC